GCCCCGCGGCATGTGGGATCTTCCCAGACCGGGGCACGAACCCGTGTGCCCTGCATCGGCAGGCGGACTCTCAACCACTGCGCCACCAGGGAAGCCCAGCCCTTACCTTTCTTCTGCTCTGCCGTTCTAGCTTCTGTTCATTTTTCAGGATCTGGATAATGGACATAGCCACTGCCCCACCTCCAGTGAACTTTTCCCTTAACGATGGAAGCTCTTGTTAATCAGTTCCTTCTTTGAACTTTTTTTTTCTTTAATGCTTATTGCTTTCATTGAAACTTTAAAAAGAGCTGGAAAATTGGAAGAGATCTTAAAAGTAATCTAGTTTAGCCTCTAACCCAAGATCTCAGTCCTCTCCATAACTCATAATTAGCATTACCTTCTAGAATTATACAAAACTTCTGGTATTTCTTTCTACTTATGTAGTGAGCATCTGGAGGTTAGGAACTTGGTTTACTGTGCTTTTATTTTTCCTCTTAATTCTTTGTATGGTTAGTATGGTTCTTTCTCCCTAGAAGACACTAAAAATGTATTCATTGATTAAATGAATGAATCATAAATTTTTCTCTCCAAAGAGTTTACAGAGGAGACTTACTTGCCCAAAAGCATGTATCTTCACAGTTTCTCTGTTTCCAAATGTCTACAAAAAAGGATGACTTAAAAGACGCTGGATACATTTGCAGCCTACTCTTTTCTTTATATAGCTCTGTATTAGCCTTGGCTTTTATTTTCCTACATCTTGAGATTATATTTGGAATTTCTCACTTTTGCATGAACTATGGCTGAAAATGTGTATGAATTTTAATGGAGTCTGCTGAATGTTGACCATGTTTTCCTATAGTAGTAGCTTAGAAATATTTAGCAAGGAATATTCCACTTGATTCATTTAAATGAAGGTAGTTATATTGTGGCTGGAAATTTTATGTAAAAATTTTCAACCACAAAAGCCCTTTATTGTGGGCAGCAGTAGGACAGCTTATAATTTGTGCAGGTTTAAGAATTATTCTTACTCATTACTTTTGTGGGGTAAATAGAAATGACAGCTTTAATTCCTTTGTGATTTTTTGTGTGATATGATTTTGAAAATAAGATGTTTCTATAGCAAGGATGTTTTTGGAAAGTTAGTGCTAACTTCAAGTATGTCAAATGCTTTAACTATGTAGAGGGTACTTGATATTCAATTATAGTTTTGATGAAAATCCAAAAGTGATATTTTCATATTATAAGTACTTTTTTCCATTTTAGAGCATGTCAAAAGAATAAATATAGTAATTTGAATGCTCTATTTTTATTTCTAGAAACCAGCAAATATCCTAGTAATGGGAGAAGGTCCTGAGAGGGGGAGAGTCAAAATAGGTAGGTAATTATTTCTAAAATAATTTACTAAGAAACTGAAGTGACTGCAAAGATGGTTTCCCTTTTTAATACTCTTATTTAAGTAGTTAATTTAAAAATTAATTCCTCATAATATTTGTAGAAAAGATGTTGGGAAATGTAGGTAGATAGTTTGTAAAATCCCTCAGATTTATTCCCAAAATAAGGTTCTATAATTCTAAGCTGAAGCAAGCAAAAAATTCATTCCCATACAATATACCCCAAGTGTGTGTTTATGCTACTATTACTGTCCTGCACAGTCACCCTAAACATAATCTCTGAATCTTACTTTTGTCTCAGCTTTACCAAATGTTGTTTCCCGGAATACATCCCTCCCACCCTGACCTAGTACATACAGATCTTCACAGATACCTCCCCCCGCCCTCCCCTCCCTCCACCACATGTCCTGTGCCAGGTACCAACATATCTTTTCCAAATGAATGTATATGTTTATAGACTCTCTTGCTTGCCAGTCTTAGATTAAGGCACTGGCAGAAGTCTTGTCTCTGTATTAAAAATTTCTTTGCAACTTGAAAGTTCTGAAAGAAATTGGCATCATTTATACCTATGACATGTTTGGGGAGAAAATGAGCTAAGAAATGCTTTGTTCTAATTTCTTATAATATAACTTAACATTTATTGAATGTCCAATGCTTTTTAGAAAGATCTTAAAGTAAATTTTGTTTCAGCAGCCTGCTTTCTTTGCTGTTAGAATATATCATGCTCGAAGTGATGCGGAATTGTGCTAACTTGACGTACTACAAATTCATTCTGTCCTGCTTCAACCAAGCGTGCCCTGCTGCTTGGCTTTCTACTTCTTCAATTAATTCACTAGCCCAGTTCCTGAAGAAGCTGTCCTAAACCAACTTTTCTTTCTTTAAACCTCTACTCTGACTTTCCTGAGATTGGGTCATAAAAAAATTCTGTTGATGTTAGTTAAGAACCAGGTGGCTGCTTTCCTTCCCTTTCCACTTTCCTTCCTCCTCCCTCCCATCCCCTTTCTACCGCTCCTCACTTTTCTGTTTCACTCTCACGCTTTTACTTGGAGGCATTTATTGAGTACCTAGTTTTTGCTAGACCCTCGTGAAAGGGAAATAAAGGATGGTCCTATGGGGGACACTAAGATAGATACTTTCAAACGCTATCTCATTTGCTTTACACAACCACCCTCTATGGTAGATACTGCAGATAAGGAAAGCTGGATTTAGAGAGACTGTAGGAAGGACTTGAATTCCAAGTCTGGGGTCTCTTTCC